TCTCACACATGTAACGTAAAGATAATTTTATACACAATATTTTTAATAATTTTGTGCAAGTTTGTGGACGTTGAAGCATCAGGAAGCAAAAGTGTCACTATATCAAATTTTTGAGTAAAGGATGCTTAACCTGTGCATGTAATTAAGTGTTTCCCAATCTTTTTTTTTTTTGACCAGAGACCACTTTGACCAGGGCCCACTTGACCAGAAACTACTTGACCAAGAACCACTTTGACCAGGGACCACTCTCCAACATTAGTACCAAAAGGGTTACAAGTCAGTTTTTGGTGAACATTACATTCGTTTTGGGGGGCTGATTCAGAAAATTGCATTGGATAGACCACATCAGCTCTAGTTTCTGATACAGAACATATGTCATGGTCAGCAACAGGGAAGGAGTGGCAAGCAGTGAGAAAAAGATCTTGGAGTCCTCGTGGACAACAAGTTAAACATGAGCCAACAATGTGATGTGGTGGCAAAAAAAGCAAATGGGATTTTGGCCTGCATAAATAGGAGCATAGTGTCTAGATCTAAGGAAGTAATGCTACCCCTCTATTCTGCTTTGGTTAGACCAAACCTGGAATATTGTGTCCAATTCTGGGCACCACAATTTAAGAGAGATATAGACAAATGATCAAGGGTCTGGAGAACAAGCCCTATGAGGAGCGGCTTAAGGAGCTGGGCATGTTTAGCCTGAAGAAGAGAAGGATGAGAGGAGATATGATAGCCATGACAGGGAGGAGGGAGCAAGCTTGTTTACTGCTTCCATGGAGATTAGGATAAGGAACAATGGCTTCAAACTACAAGAAAGGAGATTCCATCTGAACATGAGGAAGAACTTCCTGACTGTGAGAGCCGTTCAGCAGTGGAACTCTCTGCCCCGGAGTGTGGTGGAGGCTCCTTCTTTGGAAGCTTTTAAACAGAGGCTGGATGGCCATCTGTCAGGGTGATTTGAATGCAATATCCCTGCTTCTTGGCAGGGGGTTGAACTGGATGGCCCAGGAGGTCTCTTCCAACTCTTTGATTCTATGATTCTATGAAAGGAGTGGAAATAAAATAAAATAAAATAAAGAGGAAGGAGCATTGTGGACCAGACCTTTGTCCTCACGGCCCACTGTTGGTCCACAGCCCACAGGCTAAGAACCACTGATGTAACTTAAATGAGTGCATGTTGCTTCGCTGGTTAGCCCTGCTTCTTCCTTGCTTGTTTTTTTCTCAGTGTTGAACTTAAGATTGTATGGTTTTTGAGGACCAGAGTTTATATCTTGATTTCTGTTAACATATTAATAAATTTGCATATTTAGTACCAAGGCTTTCCACCAAAAAGGAACTTGCCAATGCACACTTGTGATTCACAATTGGTGTACAACATTCACCCTAAGAGTGCCAAATAAATAAATAAATAAATAAATAAAGTATCCTTCTGGAACAGGCATTGATTGGCAAACATCGTCCCTCCAGCTGTTAGGAATTGTGGATGTTGAAGTCCAAAACACTTGGAGGGCTGAAGTTTGCCATGACTGTTCTAGAAGGATAATGTTTATATTTTGATAATCGTTTGCAAAGTGAAATGCAATTGGTGAAGCATAGGCCCTAATCATTCACAGTAGGAAAGAAATGAAGAAGACATTTCTCCATTCACTTCATAGAACTTCTGGCCTCAGCCAATTCCCGATTATACCTGGCTGTATTCTTCTCCCCCCATGAGGTTGGTCATGCAGCAATGCCAATTGCCACTTTGAGAACTGCTTTTCATCTCCAGGCAGACAGTTTTCTTGATGTGAAATTAACAACTTGAAGCGGAGGCAAGCCAAAAGCATAAAAAGGGAGGGGAGGAAACTAATCTCCAGTCAGACGTGACTCCGAGGCAGCCGGCATGAAAGTGCTTTCAGAAGGCTTGTGTCTCCTTCATTAGGAAAAGGTCAGAGCCAATCACCCCAGCGGTGATTTGAGGAGAACAAGATACAAGAATGTTATTAGGGTAATCTGTCACCAGAACCTTTTTGCTGTCCACGAACTCAGCTGGGAGATAGGAAAGCATCCACAATCCTATGATGCATATCTTCCACATGGAATGGGCAAATCTGTCTTGCTTTGAGCAAAATAAAAGTCCTTTGCGTTTTGAATGTGCATTTTATAAATTTGGACAATTTCTTCAAAAGTGAAACAAACTTCCTTCCCATTCACATCTGCCAAATTCTGTAGGTAACGATACATATTGTGGTAGAACAGGATCAGATCTCAGAAGAGTTGCTTGTTTGGCCGACAATTGTCAGAGTCTGTCAGCTAGCACAGACACTAGGCAGGATCAAGGGACATGATGTAGTCTTGCAACCTTTTGGTTATTTTCCATGCATGTCCCAAATCTCATATAATAAGGCTACTTATACCCTTGAGCAGTGCAGATGTTAAAATGTATGGGAAGACAGTAAGAAGGAAGTTCTAGCAACAGTTTGGGCACTTTGAATCAACCAGTCAATCTGAAATAAAGGTTTAGGGTGTGTGTGCTCTTGGATTCAACTCTGAAACTACATATTCGGGTTTCAGCAGTACCCAGGAGTACCTCTGCACAGTGAAGGTGCAAAACCCCATTTCTATCATCCTTTCTGATGGTGTAGATTTAGCCTTAGTGATTGAGAACATTGTTACCTTCAAGTTCCTATCCTTACAGGACTATATGGCTTCCTTGTTACAATAGCTTCACCGAGTACCGCTCTGTTTTCAATGATGATTATGTCCTTTAAAACCCGTGTAATTTGAGAGTAGGCTCTTTAAATGACCATATTCTTCTTATGTGGGTTTTAAGATTAGGGGACTTATCTCAGTCCTGCCATTTTCAAAAATAAATGGAGAAGGTGGAGTGAAAGAACAAAGACTTTCCTGGAGGCCACTTTTGAATTCTGGGACTCCTTGCCAAAGGTCACAAAAGTAGCCCTTTTTGTTGACCTTCTGCTATCAGTGAAATAGATGTTTCCCCCACCCCACCTGATGGTTTTGTTTTATGTTTGTCAGACTTTTTCTAGGTATTTTTAGAGTTTATCAAAATTGCAAACAATAGTATTATCTGTGGCAGGTCAACATCAGCATTCCCCTGAAGAATCTCTTAAGTGGCTTAGATGAAGGGTTACAAGGGATGATCATCAAGTTTGCAGATGACACCAAATTGGGAGGGATAGCATTAGCTAATACTCTAGAAGACAGGAGCAGAATTCAAAACTATCTTAACAGATTAGAGAGATGGGACAAAATTAACAAAATGAAATTAAACAGGGACAAATGCAAGAGACTCCACTTAGGCAGAAAAAAAATGAAATGCAAAATTACAGAATGGGAGATGTGTGACTCGACAGCAGTACATGTGACAACAAGTTAAACATAAGCCAACAATGTTATACAGCAGCTAGAATAGTCAATGGGATTTTGGCCTGCATAAATAGTATAGTGAGGGAAGTCACGCTGCCCCACTATTCTGCCTTTGTCAGACCACACCTTAAAATATGTATCCAGTTCTGGGCACCACAGTTTAAGGGAGATGTTGACAAGCTGGAATGTGTCCAGAGGAGAGTGACTAAAATGATCAAGGGTATGGAGAACAAGCCCTATGAGGAGTGGCTTAAGGAGCTGGACATGTTTAACCTGCAGAAGAGAAGACTGAGAGGAGACATGAGGAGGACCATGTATAACTATGTGAGGGGAAGTCATAGGGAGGAGGGAGCAAGCTTGTTTTATGCTGCCCTGGAGACTAGGACCCGAACAGTGGCTTCAAACTTCATGAAAGGAGATCCCACCTGAACATTAGGAAGAACTTCCTAAACATGAGAGCTGTTCAGCAGTAGAACTCTCTGCCCCAGAGTGTGGTGGAGGCTCCCTCTTTGGAGGCTTTTATACAGAGGCTGGATGGCCATCTCACAGGGATGCTTTGAATGTGATTTTCCTGCTTCTTGGCAGGGGGTTTGACTGAATGGCCCATGAGGTCTCTTCTAACTCTGTGGTTTTATAATTCTATGTCTGAAGGATTGGTGATTGAAAACCTCTACAAACAATGTATGCAGTACTGCACTTTGTTTAAAGGAACATCATAACATCATATCCCATCACCATTCTAGACACCATCTCACATTTTAAAGACATTTTATTGTATAAGGAACATCATTCATAATTAAATCACACATTACTTGTAGATCTCAGTAGTGAGAAACATTGCCTTATACGAAATTTGTATTTCATCTATTAACATCCTTGGCACATCTCATACTACCAAAGGTATTTGCATGCCTTTGGTAGTACGTATTTCAAGAGTTCCAGTACATTGTAAGGCATCTATTTTCTTACACAATAAATTTCAGACACTTTTCAACTTAATACAGAATTGTAGTACATTTACATGCATTGCATTTATTCAACGTAATGATTGCTACAGAGAGTGAAACACATTATATTGACATCTGTGTGTTCTATTTCTTATATAAGCAGATAGCCTTTTGCACCTATAAGACTCTTACTAAAGTGCCAAAAAGACAAATTCCTACTCCCCTATTCATAGAACTGAGGCTCTTACAGGTTAAAAGCCTTTCAATATCAATTTCTTCTAAATTTTATTATGATCTCTTTTATTGATGATTGTCTTCCTTTTATTTTTCTTTCTTTTTTATCATTTGTGTTTATTGAGTTAGGAGAACTACTATTTCTGTGTTTTCTCATTTTGTGTATATCAGGGGATTTTATGGTTTGATTTTATGTTGGCCTTTATGTGGTTTAAAGATGAGAAAATACTTTTTTTGTTTCAGGCAGCTTGTAAACATCTGATATGGGCTGTTGATGAAAGTAACCAATAGCCATGATACCCAGGAATCCTAAAAGGTTGCAGTTCTCCAAAATTACTTTTCCAACTTCTATACTAAGCAACTTTGTATTTCTGTTATTCCTGGAGTTTCTACATTCTTCCATTCTATGCCCGTTTTCTTTGGTGACCACCTTCTGTTCTTCTCTCACTTCTGTAGGTGCCTCAGGGAGACTGGAATAACACATTGACTAGGGACAAAGACAATGAAATCCCATGCCGGCGCATGCGGAGTGGGAGTTATATTAAAGCCATGGGAGATGATGATAGTGAAGACTCTGAAACCAGCCCGAAGCCATCTCCAAAAACTGCAGCACGGAGGCAGAGTTACCTCAAGGCCACTCAACAGTCACTGAGTGAGCAGAGCACCACTCACAGGTACTGGCTTCTAACCTCAGCCCTCCTTTGCCTTAAAAAGGATATCCATTCCTTCAGCATCTTGAAAAGAATGGCTTGGGTGAACTATAACCACATTCCATGTTCATGATGGTTCATTATGGTTTTATGATATGAAGACTAGTGCAAAAACTATACTTCTTCTTAAAAAAATTAAAAAATCCATAGTATTACCAATTGAGTACTACTAGTGCCTACAGATACCTATGGCTGAGAGGGGATATGATAGCCATGTATAAATATGTGAGAGGAAGCCAAAGGGAGGAGGGAGCAAGCTTGTTTTCTCCTTCCCTGGAGACTAGGACGCGGAACAATGGCTTCAAACTACAAGAGAGGAGATTCCATCTGAACATGAGGAAGAACTTCCTGACTGTGAGAGCCGTTCAGCAGTGGAACTCTCTGCCCCGGAGTGTGGTGGAGACTCCTTCTTTGGAAGCTTTTAAACAGAGGCTGGATGGCCATCTGTCAGGGGTGATTTGAATGCAATATTCCTGCTTCTTGGCAGGGGGTTGGACTGGATGGCCCATGAGGTCTCTTCCAACTCTTTGATTCTATGATTCTATGATTCTATCTGTATCTGACAAAATATGTCCTATTTAGTAATTTTCTAGGTCCTCCAGATGATTCCATGGCATGTTTCCACCAGAAGTTACATAGAGCTGCATTGGTGGACCTAGAGAATTCCTATGTGTCCTCTCTAGGTCCTCCAGCATGACCCTATGGTAACTTTCAGAGGAAGCTATTCATTTCAATACAGTTCATTGTTATCCACAGTTTCCTGTTTCCACAATAAATGGTGTTTCTACTAGGTTGGCAGAAGCTGTAGCTAACAGTGGGAGCTCCCCTTGCTCCCCTGATTCAAACCACTAAATACTTCCTTCATCCAAACTGGTTCGTAACTATTTGCTCTCCAATACAGGAATTGACTAGTAATTAAGACAGTCTTCTGTTCTCCATATTAGACTAATACAACACTAAGATTACCTACATATTGTTTCCAACCTTTGTCCTGTCTTCCTCTAATCTACTCTCAGGGTAGACTGCCGCGGGAGGGGTGTCTTGTTTTTTAAAACATGTCCAGAACAAATGTAATAACATAGGCTTCAGGGGATTTCTTGATGGTTGTGATAAATAGTCAATAAAAAAAGTCACCTGTCTTACAATTTGTAGAAAATAAAAATAAAACAAGACGTAACGCCATCTGCTGTCCACTCATCATGACTTTTGTTTTCATGTGTAGATAATCATTTTTGAGTATCCAGTTCAGGTCTCCAGAACGTCAGCATAAAATCATACAGAGCCATACTACACCAACGAATCACAGAAATAATTAATGCAGATGGTAATAATAATAATATAATAACTTTTTTTATACCCCGCCACCATCTCCCCAACAGGGACTCAGGGCGGCTTACATGAGGCCAAGCCCATGGTACAATTAAAAACAATTCTAAAAAGGTATGTAAAGACATATACAAAGTTATTATTAAAACTATGATCAACTACACAATACCTGGAATTGAAATCTAACAAGGCAATTAAAAGGCAAAAGATATGATAGCCATCAACACTGGGAGTTAGCATAGTTATGATCACACTGATGTAAACTGTAAAAATCAAGATGTAGTTCTAAGTAGGCTTATTAATGAGCAGTGGGACTTTCCCCTGACAATAAATCTAGTCGTGTCCAATTCTGGGGGTGGTGCTCATCTCCATTCCTAAAAAGAAGAGCTGGCATTGTCCGTAGATGCCTCCAAGATCATGTGGCCAGCATAACAGCATGCTGTACCATTATCTTCGTACCAAAGCGATCCCTATTGATCTACTCACATTTGCATGTTTTCAAACTGCTAAGTTGGCAGAAGCTGAGCCTAACAGCAGGACCTCACCCCACTCCCAGATTCGAACCACCAACCTTCCGATTAGCAAGTTCAGCAGCTCAGCTATTTAACCCTCTGCGTCACCAGGGAACCCCCACTGGCATAGGACATTGCATTAAGCACTTTGGTCACATTTCACACTACTATCAGAATCCTCCAGTCATCATCGGGATGATGGTATGGTTGCTGATGACACGATAAATAAAATAAATTATCGGGATGATGGAAATTGTAATCCAAAAAAGTAACAGACCCAAGCTCTGACTGCCTTATACCAACTCTGGCCCATCTTCTTCCTTCTCTTCACCTTTTTTCTTTTTCATTATATAGCATCATCAAATGTTATATAAGACCACTCCTGACACAACAAAAAAAAAAACCATAGAGGCCTTCCAAGGTTTACAATTGAAAATATTTGTGTGTGTGTGTGTGTGTGTGTGTGTGCGTGCGTAGCAAATAACTAAACAGTATAATATAGTTATAAAACAAATCATAAAAAAATAAGAAACAACCCACACGATATATGAAAACTGATTAATGCATGCAATCAAAATATACAAGAGTACAAAACAACATTAAACTAAAATCCAAGTCCAAACTGCCTCCTATATATTGACTGGTAACAACCCATCAAATTTTAAGCAGTGGTCTTTCCAAGGCCTTCCTAGAAATGCCAGGAACTGAAGCTGTGTCCATCTAGAAACACAATATTTGGTCTACCATCTATCTGTGGCCTCTTCCTGTGATGCTTTCAGGCCTACTGTTGCTCAGCAATCAGCTTTTTTTCCAGCAATGACTGTGAGATTTGCTTTAAATACACTCTGTCAGGAGTCTTGGAAATGTACTTAGCACAATGAATTGGAGAAAGCAACAGCTTCCCTGCAGCTTCATGACAAGTGCAAGCTGTTAGTTGGTGATCAGTGGCTGCATGTGGGGCACTACTGCCGACCAGTGGCTATATCAAGTTTTATTTTCTGGCTGAGTTGCAGATATGTTTCCATCTGATACTTTGTTAGATATGATATTAAATATATTTCATATAGATCTTGTATGCTTAACAATGAAAACAGAAGTTGTGGGAGGCCTGATAATTGTCAAGACTACTGACAATAGTATATTTAAGTATTTTTCCCCCTTTGGCAGTCCTGATTTTAGATTATTCCTTTGAAGCTTCTATTTACAATATAATGAGCTCCTGCTGTCACCATAAACTACTTTTATCAGTTGTCATGTATATTCCCATAAATTGTTTTCTAGATTAATAGTACCAAAGTATTTGCGCATGTACAAATTCTTCATCCATGGATTCTACCAACTATGCTTGAAAATATTACCTGCTACCCTAAAGAAAAATCCAAAAAGCATACCTTGACTTTGCCATTTTGTATAAGGGACACCATTTTACTATGCTACTGTTTATAATGGGTCTTGAACATCCACATATATTTGGTACCCACAAGTGGTCTTGAATCAAACTCCAGCAGATACCAATAGGCCATTGAAGGGGACAAACTTGTTTCAGTGGAGTTGGCCTTGCTGCTTCTTTGTTACATAGCAGCCACAAAGATGGCTTCAACAAGTCAACCATTATGGATACCCCAGCCTGAATCCTGTTGAGAAAATTATTGAGTCAGTGGAAATGACGTATGTATCGACTCACTATTTAACAATTGATTCAATGGGCCTACTCTAGATGAAAGTAACCAGTGGGATTCAGACCTCTGTGTGTTTTCCACTTCTATGTAATCCATACAAGACAAAACAGGAAACACTATCAGATCATGAAGAAAGGAAGTAAAGCCCAAGCTTAATCATCTATTCGTAGATACAAAAAAAGCAGGACTAGGAAGCATAAAGAGAGACATACCTACCTAGCTTTTCTCCACTCATGAACAGGTCCAAGTTATTTGCTACAAAATTGGTACTTAATATGTAACAAATAGTTAGAAACTAAGCATCAATTCTGTTAGGGGTGAGTAATGTGTAGTCCATTGCTGACATGTAGCACCCAAACCCTTTCCCATTTACTCAAAAGAGCCCTTTGTACTTTCTATGAGATGCGGAGACCAATTTGCCATATTTTAGTCCTCTGACCTGTTTTAGGTTTGCAGAGACTTTTCCCAAAAGTCTTAAAACAGTCAGTCCTATTTTTGAAAGAGTCCTCCTGAGCCAAAACTAGGTCAGTGGATAAAAAACAAAATAAAGTGCCTCTTTACAGTTTCTGGGTGGCTCATATCCTTTTTAGTTAAATAAAAAAGTAAATGTAATGTAGCCCAGGAGGCATCAAGGGAAACTGAGGGCAGGTCCAACTTTGTGGTGTCCAGGGGAAATAATTCGCAGCCCATAGACTTGAGAAATTTACCCCCATCCCAATATTTCCCAAGATTTTTTAAATCTAAAAAATACCTTTAAAGCTTTTTGAGTTGCGGAGATAGTGGAGAAACCTATAACTTACTACTAATTAAATTCACATATTGTTATGTGCCTTCAAGATGACTGTTATTATAAGTCTCTCCCCCCCCCCCCCAAAGTAGGATTTATTCTGCGGAGGTTTGTTATTGCCTTCCTGAGGGTAAAAGAGTGTGACTTACTGAAGGCCACCCAGTGGGCTTTCTTGGCTGAGTAATATTAAGGCTCTGGTATCTCAGAATCAAAGACCAATTCTCAAACTGCTGTAACATGCTTGTCTGTTAAGAGCTAGGTGATACTGGTAGTTATACTGAAAAAAGGTAATATCTCTACACAATCACTCATATGTCCTTCTGGGATCAATTCTAGTCACACTGTTATCTGTGTCCATATCGATTTCTTGTTGGAGGGTGTGGAATCTGATTAATATGATGAGAACAACAACAACAACAACAACAACAATGTTTATTTATATCCCACCACCATCTCTCTGAAGGGACTCGGGGCAGCTTACAAAGGCACTCCAAGGTGCAGCATATGACATAAATGGCACATGAGTATAAACAATATCACATAGAAATTATAAATGCAACCACTATCAGCACATATAATATAAAATAGCACAATTTTAAAAACACAGACCATATATACATAAAACTAGCTGCCACCAATTTGCAACTAAGGTGCCAGAGTGTCAACCTCATATTGGCCTCATATATGCAAGTTTTGAACTTCACCAAATTTCATGTAATTGTGAGTTGGGAGGTTGTATCTGCCAGGTTCACAATTCCAGTTCTTAGAGTCCATTCACAATGCAGAATTGTATAATTATCACTCCTCTTTAACTACTATAGTTTTGTCCTATGGAATCCTGGAATAGTTTAGGGAAGGGCACTTTGAATACTCAGTCAAGGTGTTCCAGTGTTTCATCAAACAACAAACCCCAGGATTCCGCAGGATAGAACTATGGCAGTTAAATTGGAATTGAATAGACCCTGAATATAGGCCTGATGGTAAACAGCTGAGCAAATAAATAATCAGGAAAGAAGTGGACCCCCAAAAAAGGTCTCACTAAAGTCAACTTGCCTGTGTCAATACCTTGTTATGTCACTAAGTACCATGATCACTGTTCGCTTTTCTCCTCTTGTTATATGATCATGACTTCAGATTCTCTCTGTTCTTATTCTACAGAAGCCTGGACCGCCTTGATTCTGTTGAGATGGTTTTGCCTCCTAAGTTCCCAAGCTGGGAAGAAGAATACAGCCCGATCCCAGACAACCTTGATGAGTCCAGTAGCGTCAATCAGGTGAGAGGGAGCAGCAACCCTTCCTAGCAACACAAAAGGACAATTCCCACCTAATCTGAAAAGGATAATGCTTTTGGAAGATCACTCAAATGCAGGAAAATGCAAATCAGCTTTTGCATTTCCTGGCATTTGAAATTCAAATGCAAAACCTCCAGTGGCTAGAACAGACATTTGATTTGACTTTCTTCTGTTTCCTGTCACACAATAATACCTGAGCATTAAAAGAATAAAAACTGCTCAAAAACACTTCACATGGAATGAAAATGGCTGCAAAAGATTCCTGCCAGGGATAATATGACCATTAAGGGAAGGGTGAGTAACCGCCTCAAGTGATAGATGTCGGAGATATGCTGGTCACTCACCCCTCCAGGCTTTCCCCTCCATTGATAGTCAGAGCTGTATATGCCACACAGTCTGTCCTACACCCCTTCAAGTAGTCTCTTGTCTTAAGAGGTTGTGATATTCAACAAAAAGTTAACTTCCAGGCCAGAATCTCAGAGTGAGGGAAAACATCTCAGGCCAAAACTGTTGCACTGAAAAGTGTGTGTGTGTTCTCACTAGTTAGGCTTGGCTTTGTTTATCTGAGTGACATATTATATGTAAATGTGGTTGGTACTAAATGTATCATGTTTAACCAGAGGCTGCTCCTTGTAAGGCCATTATGGTCAGCATCCTATGATATCATAAGGGATCACCCTTGATCTCAGATTTTGGTCCAGAACTCTCAGGCCCTGAAATAGTCCTGACCTGAGAACTCTTGGTAGCCATCTTTTTCTTTTTTCACATATCTCAGTCAAGGCCCTCACCATCTGTGTACTGGCTGCTTTAATCAGTCCATGTAGTGATAAGGGGGTCCTTCCACTGTTAGGAGCAAAGGTCTCCTAATACCAGTTGTTCAGGACCAACAGTAGAGAAAAGTATTGACATCATGTTCTACTTGCCAAAGGTGTCTGATTAGACCATTCTTCCTCTCCCTCCTTTGCTTTATTCTATTTGTCTGTATCAGGGAGTCAGAGAGAATAAATTAAAAGGAAGGGACCAAAATGCCATCATATTTTAGCCTAAATCTCTTACTCCTAGGAAAGATATTGCTACCTTTAGATTGATGGGAAAATCATACAAAATATAGGAAACAAGTAAATGGTGGTACCATGGGGAATTGAAATGTTCATCTGTGAAACCCTAGAAGATGGAGAAGATCACTAGGTTCCACCCCACGATATATGGCAGTGGTTCTCTACCTTCCAAATGCCGTGACCTCCTCATGTTGTAGTGACCCCCAACAATAAAACTACTTCCATTGCTACTTCATAACTGTAATTTTGCTATTGTTATGAATTGTAATGTAAATATCTGATATGCAGGGTGTATTTTCATTCACTGGACCAAACAGGGCACAAATACCCGATACGCCCAAATCTGAATACTGGGGGGGGGGGGGGGGGGGGGGGGGGTGTGATTGATTTTGTCATTTGGGAGTTGTAGTTGCTGGGATTTATAGTTCACCTGCAATCAAAGAGTATCCTGAACTCCACCAATGATGGAATTGGGCAAACTTGGCACACAGAACCCCATGACCAACAGAAAACACTGTGATTTCTGATGGTCTTTGGTGACCCCTCTGAGGTCCACTTGTGACCCCCCAAGGGTCCCAACCCCCAGGTTGAGAAATGCTGATATATGGCATGAAAATACGTTCGGTTAAAATGTTCCAAAGTCGTTTAATTTAATATAACATTTAATCTGTCCCAAATGTATGTGTAGATTGGTTTCGTAGTCTGAAAGAAATGAAAGGAAGGAAAGAATCAGAAAATCTGGAATCTAAGGGCCCTTCCACACTGTCCCTTTATCTCAGGATCTGTTCCCAGATTATCTGGTATAAAGGACATCATGGAAGGGCCCTAAGTTATCCCCATGAGAATGGTGGACAGCTTTACTTTACTTTTGTATTGGTACCCTGTCTAGAAAGTTCTTATTTTTATAATACATCTAGGATTGCAATTCTATTGCAAACTGATTTCCAGGAAATACATCTTCTTATATACTGCACCTCTAACCATAATCCTCTGGTTAGCATTAAAATAAGAAAGATAATAATAAAACAGTGACTGGAATCAGCAGAACAGAACTCCCATTGAATTCAGTGACACTTATATCTAAGGAAATATTCATAAAGTCAAACTTTAAATTTGATGGAGAATTCTGAACACAAGTTTGACTAGACAGATTCTGCTTCTCCTAGCACAATTCTTTCCAGTAAATAGTAGGATAATTCTTATCAGGTCTGAGCAGAGGAAAGAAAAGGATGTGTTGACAGCCACCAGTCTGTTAAACAGCATGCTACTTAATAGTGATTAAAAAAACTTTAGCTGAGTAGCCAAGTTTAGCTTTAAGAGTATAGTATATTTATCCTGGCTAGGATTTTTGCCTGCATTGGACTGAAATGTGTTGTTCACCTTCATTAAAACTCTAGAGTGGTGACAGTCCAACAAAATAGTCAATATAATTGAATACCTACACTCCATCTGGTCTAGCAGATGAGATTCAACATATAAAATGTCAGTGATGGCATGATAATATCTAGATTTTTTGGCAAAAAGAACAACATAAAATGCAAACGTATCTATCCTAAGTACGAAAATTGTGTTTTTGCTGGTCCCTTATTTTGCATCCTAGCTAGTAACATTCTGATTCAGTTAGCACAGTACTGTGGAGTCACATAATGCTCTAACTCAGTGGACCCTAACCTTTGGTCCTCCAGGTGTTTTGGACTTCAGGGCCCACAATTCTTAACAGCTGGTAAACTGGCTGGGATTTCTGGGAGCTGAAATCCAAAACAACTAGAGGGCCAAAAGTTCATTGCCCCAACTGTTGCTGAATACTCTTTCCACTTGACTTTTGTCTCCCCTGTATGATAACCTGAATTAGCCTAAGTGCCTTATGCTGGGTTCAGTTTTGTCGAAATGTTACCTCATACTTGGCAGCTTGAAGGTTTTGGTTCTATGAAGTTTGCCTCATCATGTTTGGTCAGCCATATAATGAGAAGTTGTTGTTTTTTCATTCATTTTTGTGTCATTAGCCCAAACTGTCACACGACAGCCATTGTCCCTTTGTGATTCTTGGGAGGGTGAAATTGCTTCTGTGCCGAAGCAGTGAGATCCCCATCCCTGGTGCTTTAATATTTTACAACTCTTTCTTCCAGATATTTGGACAACCCTCATTTATTCCACAGATATTTTCACAAGAAGAGCAGGTACCGTCTATCTGATCATATTCTACCATCCCTTACATGCACATATTGAACTGTCTAATACAGAAGCAGACTTCCCTGTTGCTCAGCATTGTTTGCACTGGCTAGCAGTAGCCCTCCATAGTTTTAGTCTAGGGTCTTTCCCAGCCCTAACTAGAAAGGGCAGGGATTGTACCTGGGGTATTCCACATTCGAAGCATGCACTGTTCCTCAGAGCTACTATGACTCCCCCAAGTATGTTAAATCACTTGCTAAATGTTTCGGTTCTTGAACGTAGCTGAAAACCATTACTATTTAACTGTTACAACCCCCAAATATTTGACACTTTGCCTCTCAATGAAATGAGAGGAGAAAAATTTGAGTGAATTAGCAAATATATAAAATGACCTCAGTTATTATACCATAAAATTTAATGATGTATAGCTTTCCCTACTGTGTTTCAGGTAGTGTAACAAGACCCAAGCAAAGTCTTTCTGTGATATGAATGTAGCCTGTATAAATGGGATAATTTTCAGGTTGAGAAGCCAGGAAAAATGAGCAGTAATTCAGGAAAGGTTAAGAAAACAAGTGTCTTTTCATTGCTTTACTTTAAACTGTCATTACTTATTATGAATTAATTCTCTAAAATCAATTTTACAAGGCCATAAAATTAATAACAGGCCATATTTTCCAAAATGGAGATCACCAATTTGTGTGACAAATTACCAGACTTGATTAGTTTTCTTTAACGAATATGAAACAAGATCACAGTCAGAAGGGTTGTAGGAAAAACATTAGGCAGGAGCAGCTGAGGTGGGATAAAAAGCATCACCTCTTGCCTAAGATGTCACCATGGAAAACTTGAGAAATTAGAATTAGATGCCAGTGGTGAAATAGATGACTGTCTTGACCTTGAAGGAGCTGGGGGTGGCGAAAGCCAACTGGGAGCTCTGGCATGGGCTGGTCCATGAGGTCAAGAAGAGTTGGAAGCGACTGAACAAATAAACAACAACAGTGAAATAGAAAACTTGCATAATTCCTAGTTAGAAACATGAGCTAGACTAGATTGATCAGATTTTCTCACCAGGGATCTTCAATAGAGACTGATTTATTTAGTGCAGTAAAAACACATATTTCTGGATTACATCTCCCTTGAACCCTAGTTAGCATAGTCAGTGGTGAAGAAACTAGGAACTGCGGCCAAACAACATCTGTAATGACATTTTGCTCATTCTTGATTTACTGTAAGTTTCTTTCATAAGTTTCCCTATAGTATCTCTGTTTCTCTTATAGCATACATGCGACAACCTAGCAGTATTCCTGCCCAAGATGTGATCTACCAAGTTAAAAATAATCTAACAGCAAGTTATGGTGGATCACTGGAAAGTTTGTGAACCTCCTGGGTTTGCTGGTACACATCATGACTCATATAAAACCAAGGATGTTGTCAGAAGCATTACTTGTTTTTTTCTTTGGATTACAGATCCCAGTATTCCCCAGCCAGCACAGACATTTCTCGAGGTCTGATCCAAAAAGTTACTTTTCTAAGCTGTGGTCATTGTTAAGCACTTCACATACCAGAATTCAGAGCTAGTAACCTGTGTGACTTGCTGGACTACATACTATTGAAGCGGTTTTGAAACAAATAAATGTAAACAAATGTAATGTAAACAAATAAACAAATAAACATCTCATTCTGCTGAGAAGCATAAGGAAGATCTGTTGAACTACTGCTTCCACCAATCCAAACTTTTATAAAGCCCATTGTTGTGGATTATGGGAACTGTAATCTCAGATTTGCAGGGACACAGTTGCCTAGTATAGCAGAAGGCAAATTAATAAGTCAGAAAATACATTCATTTCCCCTATGAGATCTTTGGAATTGCAGGTCCTTTTGCTAAGAGAATGACCAACTATGATCTTACAGGCAGGAGAAGTGGAGCTAAATGACCAATACGAGGGACTGTGTGAATCAACCTACAGTGAAGCAGAATCAACTACTGTGGAAGTACTGGACCTGCCCCTTCCTAGTTACTTTCGCTCCCGGAGCCACAGCTACCTCCGAGCCATTCAAGCAGGCTGCTCCCAAGAAGAGGACACTGTCTCTGTCCGGTCCCTCTCTCCACCTCCAGCTAACAGCATCAGTGGCAGCCGAACACTTCCCAGCAACAGTAAGTCAAACCATTTGCAATCAAGGGGAAATGGTAAACAGATGTGATTGCACAGCTATCTAAGCATTGCTTGGAAAAAGATTTGAGCATTTTAAATTGTGAACACACCCAAAATTTGTAGTATTCAGTGTTGTAACTGAATGTTATGCTGGTTTTCCATAACTATGCGACATTGTGATTTGGTATGCGCCACATTTTGCACTTGGATTTGGTTTCAGTATTTCCGGTTCAACAACTATTCAGAAATATCTTTATGACCATATTATACTGTATTATTTCTCTTAATCCACATTACAGAAGATGAAAGTCATGGGCCATGATACAGCCAATGTATTTTAAGGCATCAACAAAAGGCATACTTGCTTGTGGGTATTCTCTACTAAACTATCTTAGGAATAAGCATGTGTTTGAACTTAGTTTCAGAAATGCAATCCTAAATTTATATACCAGGATATTTCAGTGGTACAGGGGTATTGGAGAGCAATAAGCTACTTGTAGATCCAAAGTTCATTTTTCTATCACTTCCCCTTTCCCTATTTGTTACCATGTCCTTTAAATTTGGTAGCTGTGTGGGGGGAAAGTTCCTGAACAGAATTGTAGTGTTGACATTTGATGTCAAGATCGAATCGACATTCAGCAGTGGTTTAAAATGTATTCTTTTGTTGTCTTTTCTACAAATGTTGGTTTCCTAGATATAACAAAGTTTGGAACAATGTGGAGAATATTATTATTATACAGGTCTGAGACAATTTTATCACCATTTCTTGGATGTTAATGAAATTTTGTCATGAAGCTAAGCCAATGTTGACCTATGTCCTTAAGTGTTCAAGAAACAGCTGGCCAAGTTAATGTACTGCCAAGATATCTCCTTTTCATCCATAATCCTCTTAATCACAATAATTTATTTCCCTACAGATGGGGTAGGGCCACCTCCCACATCCATAACAAGCTAAGAGTCCAATCCCTAGGCATCATTAGGATCATTTTTCCATTGACTTCATTTAGAGCACCCCTCCTAAATCCGTACTAAAATATCTCACTCAATACCCCACCCAAGAAGTGCTAGAATATTATTGTTGTTGTTGTTGCTTCTGCTGCTGTTGCTCTGACGTTTTGGGGAGCATGAACCTAGGTTGTTTTCTTGGTCAGTTATGGCTTTGTCAGAGCACAACTTTGGGAGATAGGAGTCTACTGTTCCACTCAGCAGAATGACCATGAGGGTCCCAAATAGAGTAGAAGAAGAACCTGCAGAAGTTACTTTGTAGGCTATAGTTCCAGAATCCCCCCTCACACCAGTAGGACCATTGGGAATTATGCTCCCTAAAAACATCATGGTTGCAAGTCATCTATATAGTGGACAACTTCATTCCTTTGGATTACATTCATCAGGTCTGCCATCCATGAAAGCTTTGACCAACTAAAATGTTCTGGTCTTTAATGTGCTATAAGACTCTTATATTTTGAACATATGCTAACAAAGTAGGGATAGGTAATTTCTTTGGATGTGGGGATAAAGTTCTCTCCCAGATCCTCTAAGGCCAAATCCCATGACTATAACTACCTCAAGCAATGACATTTCCAAAAGCATGGAAGTGCTGCTTTCAATGAAAGCAAGGAGCAATGTGTATAGGGATCCATGCACAGAAAATTGTCCATAAAAATATCAGGACTTCTAGAAACCAATTTTGTTTTCTTTTTAAGAAAATGCTATTTATTTGCTCTTGCCAAAGTGAATTCATAAACAGGAGGAAACCTTTATGAGGGCTTAGTTGGCCACAAAAACTGGACTACATTTTGCTCACCCTAGAAATAAGGAAACCCTTATTAGGGAGATGTTGAGCACCTTAAAGTATCCAATTGAAGCTGTGAAAGCAAAAGTCTGAAATATTGCATGAGGAAGGGCTGGTATCCAGATTTTTTTCAAAATAGCTAGTCCAACAGGTTTGAGGGATATAAGATGGACTGTATTAAAGACACAGTTTGTCCTCCAGGGAAAGGGAATGGAAGGGGTCTCTATTGGGAAGAGGAGGGCTGAGGACTTCTTCCAGCTGCTCTGAGCCTATGCCAGCAGAGAGGGTCGATGCACTCACCCTAATGCAAAACTCATGCTTTGTCTTTCAAACAGAGGCTGCCATGATGCCTTTGACAGGATGGCATGAAGTGTAGAATTGTTGGATGTTCTCTAGTAACAAGAAAAATAGCGTGACCTGAATGTTTTTCTTTTCTTCCGACACAGGTAGTATGTGCATCGCAGTTACCATTTTGTGAACTGTGGTTGCATTTAAACTGTAGACTACATACTTTGTGGTATTGTGTGCATTGCAAAGAAAGCCGCTCAAGCAGCAATCAGCATTGGATTTGTGAGGTTTAGAGATTTATGGATTGCCTCCTGAAAAATAAATTGCACTTGGCACTGTGATATAAGACCTGTTTTCATTAAGATGCCATTTGCTGTTTCCCTTTAACAAAAGAGAGAAAAGGTTTAAATTCTCATTGGCTGATACTACCTACTCATGTACCCGCAAAAAAACTAAACATACTGGTATTAAATGTATCCAATAGTGGACTGTATTAATATGCTGGTATATGCCTATACTACATTTGTAGTAGAAGGTTTTTTCCTTTAACTTCAATCCAATTGGATACATTTTATTTTAAGCTACAATTTTTACTTATTCAAGACAGGAGCTCAATTCGTACACATGTTATGGGTTAATTCTCCTGCGAATTGTGCCCATCTCCTTAAAGCTTTCTATCTATTCCTTCTATCACAATCCTTACTTTGCTTGTTTTCTGTCCTATCTACTAGAGAAAATTCTAGTTTTACTTAATAATAGACAGGATAAGATAATGCAGGTCCAGCCCTACCATTAGGTGGAGTGATGTGTCACAGTCAGCAGCTATAGGATGTTATGGAAGACCAGACTTTTAAAATTATTTTAACAGTCTGGAAAGGGGAAATGTGAGGTTTTCTGTTGTTGTTGTTCATTCGTTCAGTCATCTCCGACTCTTCTGACCTCATGGACCAGCCCACGCCAGAGCTCCCTGTCAGCCGTCACCACCCCCAGCTCCTTCAAGGTCAGTCCAGTCACTTCAGGGATGCCATCCATCCATCTTGTCCTTGGTCGGCCCCTCTTCCTTTTGCCTTCCACTTTCCCCAGCATAATTGTCTTCTCTAGGCTTTGCTGTCTCCTCATGATGTGGCCAAAGTACTTCAACTTTGTCTCTAGTATCCTTCCCTCCAATGAGCAGTTGGGCTTTCTTTCCTGGAGGATGGACTGGTTGGATCTTCTCGCAGTCCAAGGCACTCTCAGAACTTTCCTCCAACACCACAGCTCAAAAGCATCGATCTTCCTTCGCTCAGCCTTCCCTAAGGTCCAGCTCTCACATCCATAGGTTACTACAGGGAATACCATGGCTTTGACTATGCGGATCTTTGTTGCCAGTCTGATGTCTCTACTCTTTACTATTTTATCGAGATTGGACATTGCTCTCCTCCCAAGAAGTAGAAAATCCTCTTAACATATGATTTGATCCTGAGAAAACCCACTGAAATTGTGTCCTGACCTGTCTTCTGATTTCCTGGCCACAGTCTGCATCTGCATTAATCTTTGCGCCTAGAAATACAAAGTCTGTCACGGCCTCCACATTTTCTCCCTCTATTTTCCAGTTGTCAATCATTCTTGTTGCCATAATCTTGGTTTTTTTTAATGTTTTTAATGAGGTTTTTTTAATGAGGTTTTCTACATCTTCCTAAAATGATATGCTTGGTTTTGGGTGCCATGACTTCTGTTCTTGATTGCCTCTATATTGGCTTATTTGCATTCTATATTTCCATTTCTTTCTGCATTAGCTTAGGACAGGGATGGAAAATATTTGAACCTCTATGTTTTTTGAACAAAGATTTCTGCAATCTACTACCAAAGGCCATGCAGGATGAAGCTGATAGGATGTCTGGAGTAAAATATTTAGAGAGCCAGATTCCCTAGCCCTGGACTAGCATCTTTTTTAAAGCATTGTGATCCTATTTGTTCCAAATTAAATTGTGTGTGTCAAAAATAATATATTTGATGACAACCTGGAGTCCTTTCATACTATACAACTATACTGGCATGATTTCATTTTAACTGCCATGGTTCCATTCTAGCAATCTGGAATTTGCAGTTTAGCACCTCACCAAGCTACAAACCGCCAGATGCTTTAGTCAAGATATTGCCATGGCTATTAAAATGGAACCATAATCATGGAGTGTGAAAGAACCCATAGAGTTGAAAAGGGAATCAACATTTCATTTACAAATCTGTAAACTCAGTAAATGACAACCCAGATCTACCACCCAGGAAGTAAGTAAATAAATAGGTAAATAAAATAAAATAAGTGATTACCTGCCCTCAGTGGCATTTTTGTAGCTTGCAAGGTGTTAACACTAAGGAGGGTGAGATATAGCCAGTGGTATCTGTTCAACTCTGGTAATTGGCAGAAATTCTACTGACAGCTTTAAATCCCTGGCTTTGAATCCTTTGCATGAGATCTATATGACAGAGGTATGGGAGTGAGGGGATGCTTCCTTGTAACTTTCTTCCTTAAGAACAAAGAGATTTATGCACTGGGACTTGAAGAATCTTAGCAAAACAGGCTGAGCAGCAGGTGAAAAGTGATGTGTTCTGCACTAGATGCTCAGTTTCTATTTCAGGTTTTGGCTGAAACAGCCTAGATTTATGCATATTTATTATACAAGTGAAATTCTGAGCATTTTGTGTGCAAAACACTTAGATCTTTCATAATAGAAGAAGATGAAACATCTATACAACCCCCCCCCCCCCCCCCCCAAGAAAGAGAAATAATGAAATTTTGTAATTCAAATACAGGTGAACTACAACCTGCTTAATTTAAAAAAAAACATACTTGATGTAGTATAACAAAAATACCAAGTTACCAAAGAGAATGCACCTGTCCCTCCACTGCCAAAAAAACAAAACAGGACAATAGAGGATACAGAC